GGAGTGGGGTGTGGGGCGGCGGGATTGGGGGGCGGTTGGCGGGATAGCTGCGGGAGAGAGGGGGGGTCCTGAGCCCCTCCTGGTTTGAAGCAGCCGGTGCCCGCTGTGTTGCGGGGTGCGGGGTGCGTGTCTGTGGGTGCAGCCCCCTCCGGGCTCCGGGACACCCAGCAGTGGCCGGGTTAGCAGCTCGGGGGAGGAGGAGATAAGTAACAGCCTCATCACGGGGTTTGCAGCGGGCAGAGTTTCTCTTTAAGTCATTTATTTTGGGTTGGTTTTGGGTTTTTTTGTTTAAATCCTGCTCGTTTCCTTTAGGTGCCCTGTTGGGACTTGGGCCTTCGCAGGGAAACTTGTCTTAGTTACGTAGGTTGAAAGTTCGTAGTGTGTGTTCTGCTTGTGATCTTTTTCCTTCAGTTACTGCCTGGCAGGACCCAGGTACTCGCCCCTCCCTTGAGAAGCCCCCCGGGAGGGTTTGCACAGGGCTCTGGGTGGACAAGGTGACCTGCAGAGGTCCCTTACAACCCCAGCCAGTCTTCCCTGACTGTCAGCGTGGGCACTGGCAGAACCTGGAGGAGCAAATCAGAGGAGCCGTTTTAAGAGAAGCACTGATGGTGACACAGACAGACTGTGTAACCCGGGTTGCCCCAGCTGGGAGCCTTCCCAGACCTTCAGTGGGGGAGCTGCTCAGAGGCAGCATGCAGTTTTGTTCGTGAGGAGAGCTGTTTGAAACGTTGGTTATGTGCCTTAAATTACACATCTCTTGCCTTTGCAGTGTCTCCTGTGAGTACTCACCTGGTGACTTGGTCTGGGCCAAGATGGAAGGTTACCCTTGGTGGCCCTGTCTCATATACAACCACCCGACTGAAAGAACAATTGTCAGAGGAAGAGGGAAATCCGTTCGTGTCCACGTGCAGTTCTTTGATGACAGCCCTACAAGGGGCTGGGTCAGTATTAAGTATTTGAGGCCATATAAAGGTAAGAGATGTAAATGGAACTTGTTGACAGGGTAATAATACCATTTGTTTTGGAAAAATAGGCGTGGGATAGAGGGTTTGGTATTCTCCATGCAGAAGGAGCAGCAAAACCAAGATTAGTATTGAGTGGGAAAACATGTTTTGTACTTTGTAAGTTACAGAAGGCAAGTTTTTGAGGGTTTCGGGTATTTTTATGGTTGTACAGTTCTTTGGACATGAAACACTAAGCCCTCTTGTTTGTTAGATTAGAAGGAAAACTTTAAGCTTGCTTATGTTTTAAAGTTTTGTCCTTTGTTTCTCCCATCAATAAAGAAAAGATTTAAAAGATAAATCCACTATTTCAATTTTTAGCACTGAAGGCCTTAGCATATTAGGAATGCCCAAATTAGTTTTTAAGCAGGTATTTAGGAACTATGTTAACAAAAGATTAGTCACAGGATGTTAGTTAGGTAACTACAATTAATTATACTGTGGAGTTACTTTTTAGCAATGCAGTACAACTTTGTTAACAAAGTATGTAACTTGAGAATTCAGTGTTTGTTAGGATGGTGCTTGTAGTTACAGAGCAGAGTTGGTGTTTGTTATCGTGAAGAAATGACTTAGTTAACTAAGGAAAATCAAACGTAATAAAGAATTAAAACAGCATTTTAAATCTCACCCTAGTAATAATGGTGATCTGTTTTTAGTGTAACAAATTAATGTAAACAGTTTTATTTCAAGTCCGAGTTCCATCTGATGTGATCATGTAATCTTTTTTTTACCTTGTTTATATGTAAATGTTCTGCACTTAAGCCATAGTTTTGCATTAAAATGGTAATGTTATTATCCTAAGTGTTAGCATAGCTTAAGGCAAGTTAATTGATCCATGGTGTTTATGTGTAGTTCCTGAAGGTATTCTAAAATAATCCAATATACTTTAACAGCTTGCAGTTGCACATAGAAGCAAATATAGGTAAGGGGAATAGAGCTGTTTACCAAACAAAAATTGCAGAAAAATAAGAAGGGTTCAAAATGTTTAAGAACAGAAACAATGGTATATTTACAAGATAAAATATTAATCTAAAATATAAAAATAATACATACACACTTTGCTTTTAAATTCAGACAAAATGCTTCTATGTATGCAAAGTAAGAGTCTTGGAGTCTTTCGGTAAGAAAAGGGAGAAGTTTCTTATATCGTGGTGGTGTTTGTAACTGAATAAATGCAGGCAGCACAGAGGTAGACTTCCAACAGCTGGGCATGCAAGAAGTGGAGTTAAATACAAGTTGGTTAAGTGAACGTGCAGGTGTTGCACATTTGAGGCTTTTCTCCTGCTATCGTTAAATTGTCAGTATTAAATAAAATATTTTAAAATTGTCTCATCGCATTTGCATAACTAAAATGGAGATCTGGTTTGCTAATGTGTTACCTTTGTGCACTAGAAGCAGCTGCTTTTAGCTCCTGCTTTGCTTCTGCAAGCTCAGAGACATGAACATGAGCATGTGTTCTGTTTGGCTTGTGTCTGAGAGGTAGCCTGCAAGTCACCTGCTTTTTGTCTGCCATTGGCTTAGAGCTGAAGCTTCTGCAGGAATTTACCAGAGTGGGTGTGAGGAGCTATTAAAGCAGATCCTACTGTCCATTGCAGCCAGCTGATGTTATAAGGGCAGAAAAAGGAATTACCCTTCCCCATCTATAATCGTACAGATACTCTTCTCTCTCTTATTTTCCTCAAGCTGAATCTCTAATGTGTTATATATGCCATTCACTTTTTGAGGATGGCATTATGATGAATGTTGGTGTCTTTGGGGACCCTTTCTAGAAATTGGTCTGTAGGCTGGTTGGCTGTGTTTTTGTCTTTATGTACAGGTCATGGAAGGAGGAACTGTGGTGCTCAAGGGATATGAAAGAGGATGAGGGAATGGTACGGTTATTAATAGGCTTTGTTGTGTCTGTGATACCTGCAGTGTCAGGGTGAATTGACAGTGTAATTGATAGTCAGCTAATGTGGCTGATAAGTTGCTGTTGAGTCTGGACACCTTCCTGCACTTAAAGGAGCAGTTTAAATGGCCAGCAGAGCCAAGAGGTTTATGTCGTGGATAACTGATGCCCATAACTTGAAGGATAACTTTGTGGTTGAACTTACCTGTCACTGTAAAAGTATCTGTGTGGTCTCAGTCAGGTCTGCTGCACTGTTAGTATAAAGTGTTGCTTTTAGTAGTAACTATACTTAGTGTGATGGTGTTCAGAGCTTAGCTTAGAAATAATCAGATGTGGTAATGAGTTACAGAAACAGAAGCAATTCTTCAAATGTTCACATACTAGAAAGGCATTTCATTTGCAAGTGTGTAGACTTTCTCTAGGGGTCACTTCTCACGCTGAGAAAGTGATGGGTTCCTGTAGTTAATATGTGAGAATGACCGGTAACAAATCAGTGTTAGATAATCATGGAATCACAGAATCATCCTGGTTGGAAGGGACCTTGAAGATCATCAATTCCAGCTATAACCTAATTCCCCCTAACATAACCTGATTTACCCATTCAGTGCTTAAATCATGTCCCTAAGCACTGTATCTATATTTCTTTTAAATACTTCCAGGGATGGTGACTCCACCCCCTCCCTGGGCAGCCTGTTCCACTGTCCAACAACTCTTCTGGTAAAGAAATTCTTTCTAATATCCAGTCTCAACCTCCCCTGGCGCAGCTTCAGGCCATTTCCTCTGGTGCTGTCATTGTTCACTAGGGAGAAGAGGCCAACACCCACCTCCCTACAACCTCCTTTCGGGTAGCTGTAGAGAGCAATGAGGTCTCCCCTCAGCCTCCTCTTCTTCAAAGTAAACAATGCCAGTTCCCTCAGCCTTTCCTCATAGGACTTACTCTCCAGACCTTTCACCAGCTTGGTAGCTGTTCTCTGGACACACTCCAGCAACTCAGCATCCTTCTTGTGAGGGGCCCAGAACTGCACATAGTACTGGAGGTCTGGCCTCGCCAGCGCTGAGTACAGGGGCACAATCACCTCCCTACTCTGGCCACACTATTCCTGATGCAGGCCAGGATGCTGTTGGCCTTCTTGGCCACCTGGGCACACTGCTGGCTCCTGTTAAGTTGGCTGTCAACCAGCACCCCCAGGTCCTTCTCTACCATGGAGCTTTCCAGCCACTCATCCCCAAGCCTGTAGCTTTGCATGGGGTTGTTGTGACCAAAGTGCAGGACCTGGCACTTGGCCTTATTAAACCTCATACAATTGGCCTCAGCCCATTGATCCAGCCTGTCCAGGTCTCTCTGCAGAGCCTCCCTACCCTCAATCAAGTTGACACTTCAACACAGCTTAGTGTCATCTGCAAACTCACTAGGAAGCACTCCATCCCTTCATCTAGGTCATTAATAAAATAAATATATTGAACAAGTCTGGAACCAAAACTGAGCCCTGGGGGACACCCTTGGTAACTGGCCACCAGCTGGATCCAACCCCATTCCCTACAACTCTCTGGGCCTGACCTTCCAGCTGGTTTTTTACCCAGCAGAGAGTGTGCCTGTCTATGCTATGAGCTACCAGCTTCTCTGGGAGAATGCTGTGGGAGATGGTGTCAAAGGCCTTTCCAAAGTCCGGATAGACAACATCCACAGCTCTTCTCTCATCCACCAGGTGGGTCACCTGATCATTAAAAATCCTTACCCTGTCCTGATTTTGCTAGTTGTCTGAGTACATTTAAAAGTGTGTATAAACACTAACAAAGGACTGGCTAAATGCTAGACCAACTTTCTGACAAGTTATTTGTGGTTTTACAGGTTCCTCAGATGGGGAGACAATGAAGGGAGGTATCTTTTACAGTACAAAGCCTGAAATTAAAAGAGCAATGGTGCTAGCGGATGATGCCATGAGTAAAGATACAGCTGAGCGCCTTGAGCTGGCAGTGTGCTGTGAACCATCAGATACTGAGGAGGAAGAAGCAGAGGTAAATTTTTTTGTACTTGGTATCATTTTCAGAAATAGTGCTAGAACTTAAAAGTTGCCTCTTGGAGCTAAGCATGGAGTATCCTTCAGTTCCCTGCTACAGTGGTCACAGCTTATCTGCTCTCTAATCATGCATACACATGTACCCCTTTGTTTTTCTTTGTACTGCCTCGATGTTACCAGGTCATATGCTGGTCCCTTTTCTGTTTGGAAAGACAAATATAGTATCTCTCTGGTGTTCTGTATGGTAAGGACTGACCTGAAAACTTACTTCTCTGAAGTATATAATCTCTCTTCATTGATCACTCCATTATTAGCACAGATGACCCACTTTCTTCTTTCATAAGTTTAGTACATATTTTGTGGTGCATCTTTTGATGTTCTGTATCTGGTATTCATATACCACATGCCCCTAAGTTCTGACTTTGAAGTTTTCATTTGTCATGCATGTCATGCTCCTCTGTGAGCATGGCCAATCTACTCTTTCTCCAGCATGACATGGCCCAAGGGTCAGGTGCCACTCCAAGCATCTTGTTCCATTCATGGCAACAGTGCAGTGTTAGCTTATGGAGGCATTTCTCCATTATGCCGAATTTCATGTGCCCTTTGTCCAGTTTAAATGTTCATAGTATCAATTATGACAGAATCATGAACAAGACTGTAAAGAATACAAGTAGGAGTAATTATGCCACTGGCTGGTATCAGTTCCTTAATCCAGAAAAATGAATTTTGTGTAGGTAAACTAAATTGGCTGTGACTTTCTTGTCTCTTGCTTGAACTATCATAGCTACCGCATTGTTGCACACTTTTGCACTTCCTTTTACAGCAGCAATACTTTACTTTGTAGCCAGATTTTTTTATAGGTTAAATAATTTATTTTTCCAGCAGATGAGTGAAAGTGCATCAGGCGACAGCGATGACTGCAATAGTGAGGAGGATGTGAAGAGTAATAAGAGAGTAATGCGCAGGGAGAGTTCTGTAAAAGCAAAAAGAAGAAGAGTGGTGGATTCTGACAGTGATCGTGATGGTTCTGATGTAGAGTTCAAGCCTGACGTGAAGGAAGCAGGAAGCAGTGAGGAAGAAGCTAGTAGTGGGGTGGATGAACATGAATCTGCTGATGCAGAGACAGACGCAGAGAGTGTTGAAGAAAGTCCCATAAAAGTCCCTACTAAACGGAAGAGACAAGAGAGAAGCAAGCCTGCTAAAAGGAGTAGCCTAGAAAATAATCATTCTGAAGCATCCAAAAGACCAGTAACCGTTTCTCTAGAAGCTAAGTCTAAGCTGATAGCATTTACAGCACCTGAAAGTTTTGAATCTCAAGCAAACGCTTCCAGTGGATGCACAGGTGGGTTTGCAGTATGGGAGCATGAAAAGCTGGATTGGTTGCAGGCGGGGAAGAAGAAAGATGCACACAGGAGACGGCAGGGTGACCCTGATTATGACCCGTGTACCCTCTATGTACCCGAGGACTATCTCAACAAGTGTACACCAGGAATGCGGAGGTGGTGGCAGCTGAAAAGTCAAAACTTCGATGCTGTGATATGCTACAAAGTTGGAAAATTCTATGAGTTGTATCATATGGATGCAGTCACTGGGGTAAATGAGTTGGGCCTGATCTTCATGAAAGGTACTTGGGCTCATTCAGGTTTTCCAGAAACTGCATTTGGCAGATTCTCTGATGTTCTAGTGCAGAAAGGCTACAAGGTTGCCCGTATTGAGCAAACAGAAACTCCTGAAATGATGGAAATGCGCTGCAAGGCAATGGCCCACCCAACAAAATTTGACAAGGTTGTGCGCAGAGAAATATGCAGGATCATCACCAAAGGCACTCAGACCTACAGCGTTCTGGATTCTGATCCCTCTGAGAACCACAACAAATACCTTCTGTGTGTTAAGGAAAAAGAAGACTTCTCTGGACAGCGTGTTTATGGGGTTTGCTTTGTTGACACATCGGTGGGGAAGTTTTATGTAGGCCAGTTCTCAGATGATCGGCATTGTTCAAGGTTCAGGACTTTAGTAGCACATTACACTCCTGTGCAGGTGCTGTATGAAAAGGGCAACCTGTCTGCGGACACTCAGAAGATACTGAAGAGCTCACTTGTTTCTTGTATTCAGGAAGGGCTTATCTCTGGTTCCCAGTTCTGGAATGCATCTAAAACACTGAAAGTCCTTCTTGAAGAAGGTTATTTCAAAGAGACACAGAACTCTGAAGATGGATGTTCTCTGCCCCCTGTAATCAAATCTCTGACTTCGGAGAATGACTCGCTGGGATTAACTCCTGGTGAAAACAGTGAATTAGCTTTATCAGCTCTTGGGGGATGTGTTTTCTATCTCAAAAAATGCCTGATCGATCAGGAGCTCTTATCCCTGGCAAACTTCGAAGAGTATGTCCCTGTGGATATCGCTACTGCAAAAACTGTGAGCTCAAGTAGCTTCTTTGCGAAAACTGACCAGCGGATGGTGCTGGATGGAGTGACCCTGATGAACTTGGAAGTCCTGCAGAATGGAACCAATGGCACCATGGAAGGTACCTTGTTGGAAAGGATTGATTCTTGTTGTACCCCATTTGGGAAGCGACTCCTGAAACAGTGGCTCTGTGCTCCGCTTTGTAATCCCAAGTCCATCAATGATCGTTTAGATGCTGTTGAGGATCTTCTGGCAGTGCCACATAAAATGTCTGAAGTTTGTGAGCACCTGAAGAAACTTCCTGACCTTGAAAGGCTGCTCAGCAAAATTCACAGTATTGGATCACCACTTAAAAGTCAGAACCACCCAGACAGCAGGGCCGTCTTTTACGAAGAAGTCAAATACAGCAAAAAAAAAATTGCTGACTTTTTGTCTGCGCTGGAGGGGTTTAAAGTAATGAATGAAATTGTTGATGCAATGGAAGAAAGTGCCGGTGACTTCAAATCTAAGGTCCTCAAGCAGCTAGTCACCCGCAAAGCGAAAAATCCAGATGGCCGCTTCCCAGACTTGAGTGCAGAGCTTAAAAGGTGGGATACTGCTTTTGACCATAACCAGGCTCGAAAGACAGGAGTGATTACTCCCAAGGCAGGCTTTGATCCCGATTATGATAAAGCACTACAGGATATCAAAGCTGTTGAGGAAGATCTTAACAACTACTTGGCTCAGCAACGCAAACTGCTTGGGCTCAAATCTGTTCTGTACTGGGGGGTAGGCAAAAACCGGTACCAAATGGAAATACCAGAAAGCGTAGTGTCACGTAAGTTGCCTGAGGAGTACGAGTTGAAGTCAAGCAGGAAGGGGTATAAGCGCTACTGGACCAAGGAGATCGAGAAGATGCTGGCTGCGATGATCAATGCCGAGGAGCGCAGGGACGCAGCGCTGAAGGACTGCATGAGGCGTTTGTTTTACAACTTTGATAAGAACAGCAAGGACTGGCAGACAGCTGTGGAATGCATTGCTGTGTTAGGTAAGGGGTTGTCTTCATTTTGACATAGAATCAAAATAATGCTTGATAGTAAATGATCTGCGTAAGCCAGATGGGCTTGTTGCTCCTACTTTGTAGTTTTAAAACTTTGATTGTGGTAACGCCATTGATAATTAACAGTGATCACCTGTTTGCCTCCTAACAGTAAGTGGCAGAACAGGTGGGT